ATTCCTCAAGAAAATTCACCTGCCCTGGCCTGGGCAACCTGGCAGTACTCAGCCCACAAGCCAATCGTGGAACATTTTTCTTTTTATAAAGATTATTGTACCATGGTTTGTTTGGCACACAGTCTGTCCTCAGACAAGTGTGAAATATTTATAACACGGACTTGCTTTTGAACGACTAACTCCTACGTGAGGATAAGTCAGCTTCTTGGATGTCTCTGCTGATGGCAGTCCACCCCTGGCAATCGGCGGCAAGGTTATAGTGTGAGACTCAAAGCCGGTTCCAGTTACGGGTTCCATACTCGAATTATAGACCCCGCCATTCCATGTTCGCCTTGATCCCATTCTCGCTGGGATCATACTCCGTCGATTGTCTGCTGCTCGTGAACAGTGCACATGTAACAACCAGGCTGGTTTTATACCTGGTCGAGGTTGTATCGACCATATCTTCACTCTTCTTCAAACCCTAGAACACAGACACTCCTTTCGTAGACCCACCGTTTCCATCTTCCTCGACCTGAAAGCGGCTTTCGACTCAGTCGACCCCTCTAAACTCTGGCACTGCCTTTCTCTGAAGGGTGTGCCCGAGAAGTTTATTTCAATATTGCAATCGGTCTACAATAATAGCCGAAGCCGAGTCCGAGCTTACGGCACTTTTTCACCACGGTAAGTGGTGTTCGACAGGATTGCCCTCTCTCTCCGTTTCTAGATTTAATTCTTTAAACAGCTTCTGGCACTTTTTCACCCATGTTAATCATAGAAAGTGGTGTTCGTCAGGGTTGTCCTCTCTCTCTCTCCATTTCTATTTAACTTTGTTACAGATTTAATTCTTGAAACAGCCCTATCCTCATGCGAGGATAGTGGCATCGCTTTACTCCCGGGTGGCAGACTGATCTAGAGTATGCAGACATCGTGGTAATCGCCGGAGACTTCAATGCCCAAGTGGGTGTCTTAGACGAAGCAGAGAGGCTTCTTGGTGGACCGCACACAATCCCAGCCAACCGGACGGACAACAGCGATGCGTACTTCAACTCTGTGCCGACCACGGACTGTTCTTGTCAAGCACGAACTTCTCGCACAATAAACGTCGCCGTCTTACATGGAAACCGCCAACCTCCCCACGGCAATGGACCCAAACCGACCACATCGCTATCAGTTACCGCTAGAGGGGATCGATTCAAGACTGTCACTCTTACTGATCACCACCCTTTAATTCGGACCGCGCTTTTCTACGAGCCAAATTCTCCTTACACCTGGCAAACAACCGTAAAAACGCCACTGAAAATGGATACCTACGATACAGCGTCGGTTGCAAATCGACCTTCGAAGCGGAACTCTCCAAACGTCTGTCAGTTCAACCGCCAGCCGAAGGACTCAATGAACACTGGAAACAAATCAAGGAAGCTATGCAAATATCAATAAAATCAACGTCGGACCCTTACGCAGGCTTAAAACATAAACGATGGATCTCATCGACCTCGGCTGCCCTGCTGTATGCCCGCAGAACCCTTCCTCCCGATGCCGCGTATGATACAGTGCGCAAATCCCTCAAACGCCAACTCATCAAGAGTCTGAGGAATGACCGCGAGAAGTGGTGGATAGGAAAGTGTAGAGGGATGGAGAAGGCTGCGGCTATTGATAATAGTTCCAATCTTTTCCGTGTAATTGGGAATACGGGTCCTAGAAAACCAGGCGTAAATGAGATAATTAAGGAATCCGATGCCATACTGATTCACAATCAGCAACGCCGTCTTGATCGCGGGATGAACATTTCAAGGCTCACTTCAACTGACTCCCATTGATATCTGACCTGTCACTCTCCACTGTGACTGCGCAAATTCTGCCAGTCCTCCATCTGAAATGGATGTTTCCCGGGAAATAAGCTACCTCAAAAGACATAAGGCCTCAGGCCCAGACCGGCTCTCCCAATCCGTTTTTAAGGATGGAGGCTTAACTTGGTTACGGAGTTAACGAAACTCCTGGGGTTAGTGTGGGAGTGGGATCAGGTTCCAGGTGAGTGGTGTGAATCGGTCATCATACCAATTTACAAGAAAGGTGACAGATCCTCTTGTGAAAACCATGGAGGAATTAGTTTAATCAACATTGCTTCTAAACTTCTCGCTGGTCTCATACTCTGTCGATCGTTCTCATGCGTGAACTCTTCACTTCGGTCTATGTAAATGCGCTGTCTTCTGCTTGAATCTGCTCTAAACATTCTAATCACCATGCTGCAGTCTTATCCAAATGGTCAACCAAAACCGGCGCACGAAAATGCATGGTTAATGGTTGTAAGAAGAGAACTGAACAGAACATTGCTCCGGGTCTCCAGTTGGCTAGAATCCTTCGCGAGAGTTGAGCGTCAGGCCTTCGGAGTACTTGGCAAAACCAATGAAGGCGCCGGCATCGCAGCATTTGGGAAAGCTTATAGATGTTTCAATAGCACCATCGAACCATATCTTTGGAAAACCAATCTCACCAATTTGCTTTCGGGATGCGACGTAAGCCTCAATGGTCAAAGGCCTCGAGCTTCTCTCTCTCTATAATTTTTATTATATTTTTCTGTTTTGAGGGCGCACCTCTTTCCTTTGTGCAACCCAGTGTGAACTGCAAGGTAGCAGGAAGTAATCCCTAGCCTCGGAAGTGAGGGAGTCAATGACTAGTTTTAAAAGGACGACACCGTCATTGGGCTTATGCGGCATTTATACAGGAGCCAGGTGACCAGTCTGAACCCCACCACACTCTGGTAGTGCCGCCGCTGTTTGTTCGCAACTGCTTATTTGTTGCAGTATGCCACAACTTATTCACAGCTAACATTCTTCAGTGAAGGTATCCCCCTACTCACAATCCGGGGACACGCCTGGTAGCATTCAGCCCTTCTTAACCCGAGAGTATCCAGGCCCGTTCTCAGATTACCACAGAATGTACCAAAGAACGCAAATTTCGTTGTATCTAAAACTTTCTAACCTTCATTGGAGTAGAGGGGAATTCTCCCGTCTTTTATAACTTCCATGATTTTTAATTTATGGGACTTCGCGATCGAGACCAGAACGGAGTTCAAACCACCAATATTTCAACCAAACTTACACTAGACAACGAGCGGTAGCTTTGTCATGGTGAAAGATCGTTTCATTTTTCTGTCACAACTTTTTATTATCTATAGATGTCGATTTCAGGTACTTTTCGTCTTTAAGTTAGCACATTTCTGTTGAGGAATGGATTTAATCGGATTTCATTCTTCTAATCCAACGAACAANNNCCGAAGTGCAGCTACCATAACTCCGTCACAAAAGTACATGGTTAATGGTTACATAAATCGAACTGTAGTTTTTGTAGCTGTGTGCGTGTTTGGTGAATCAATGTATTCGCTCTATCTAGCATCCCCCCTCCCCCTCTTCATTCGGAATTCACAGAAAACTTTAAAGAAACAATGTTGTGATGGCGTGTGAAATATCAAAAAGTTTAGAATTCTGGATGATAAGCAGCATGAACCATGCTGAATAACTTCCGCATTTGACTACTGTTTGCCAATTATACCAATATAACGTTCGCTAAGATTGTCATCCAGACGCGCATTAGTGATGACAACCTTCTGACCCTCTTGAAGGGTTTTAGTGAAGCCAGTAAAACCGATTCTGGAATATGTAAGGAGTAACAGAGTATCCAGTTCATAGATGGAATGTGATTGGGTTTCCTGTGTCCATGTGTGGCCGTTTATGTGCGCTTTTTCACTTGACTTCTAACCCTCCTTTCAAATTCCGAAGATACTCGTAAATCGAAGTTTTGCGGTTCGAAACCCGGGCAAGATATATAATAGGCACTGCTAACGAGTCCCAACATAAATGATATAGTTGTCCGGTTCTCCTTAGCCGCTATCACACAATGATCCCATCTTACTTATGCGAAATAACAAATTAAAATAAAACATTGATGAGACGCTAAACATTTGTCTGTCCGGTGTCACGTGTGCCCAGTAGGAGAACCGAATATGTGAGTAATAAAGATCACTGTTTAGGCGACTCATCATTCCATCAATAACACCCTTACGATCAGTGGGTATTCAACAAGACGCACGATATACTAATTGGTTTATTGCAATGCATTGAACATTCATGAACGAGTATTTTAGTCTTCCTTTCCCCTGATTGGTTGTAAGTACGTTCACGTAATGTATAATGGCATGGTTCCATATTTTTAAACTGCTTTGTTACAACCTGTCATGCATTTTTGAGCCGGTGTGTCATGAATTCTATTGCGCATTACTCACCGGTACATAGGAAGAGCTCGTCCTACTGAGTAATACATGCAGATACAAGTTAAGATAACTTGGATGTTAGAACAAGCCACTGAGTGCTTTTGCTTTTTTGCAGTCCTGCAGTAGTTTCTCAAAGTGATGTTTTTAATTGATCTAATCCTCATCAATCTCCGTGCAGATATCGATCAGGTCGAGACTGATGATCACTCTCCGGATCCCCCCACTCATGTCCCTGTTCCGGGTGCTGCGTCCACTTTGCCGCGACTACTTGGCACGGAGGATCGGCTTAACTCCACTTTATTCAAACCCTCTCAATACAAGCGATTGAAAAAGGCGGAACGCGCCCGCCAAAAGCAGCTGGCTAAAACGGAACGTGAACGAATTAAAGCGGAGAAGAAACGGAAGAAAGCTGAGTCCAAATCAGCTCAACATAGTTCGGGCACTCAAACATACGGGCGCAAATGGTTGACTGGTCTTTCAGCCGCTTTCTCCCCCTCCTCCGCTGCATCCTCCTCGGACCCTCGCTCAACCATGCATTCTTAGGAATTGTGAATCCCATCAAACAATTGCTTATTTAGTCACTGCCCTCCGAGACCTTTTATCTGCGTTTGCTGTCTGCACTCTACTCATCTTACTTGTTGATCATGATCAGTACCACTTGTAAATATCTCCTGCATTTTGATTCGCCTCTACATGCATACGCGAGCACGATATTTCACACCTCTGCCTCCTAAACCCACCACATACATTCATCCGCTTCTTTGTAGATTTGAGTTCGCATCAGTCTTTCAGCCAATGCAGCACGATTTTGTCGAACCCACTATTTCTGATGAGAAGCCCGACCGTTCATTGTTCCATTTCCTAGCTCCCTCTCTGATCACAGAATATTCGCGTTTATCGTCACCAATGNACCAATGTCCTCAATCCTCCTCCACCCCCACCTAATTCTATCAATCGTCTAATTTATTACTTGTTGGTAGAACAGAACGGGCTTTCTCCATTCTCACATCCTTGCGGAACAGAACCGAAATTTACTGTCTCTCCGCTCATGCACTCTCAAGCTTTTTATCGTTAATAGACCATTGAAACATGTTTTTTGTAATCTGATCTCTACAGAACAAGATGTTGAAGGGTCACAGTGGTTCTTTGTGATCTCCAGTTCTTCGTGTGGCCTGCACAAAAAAATAAGCCTCGCAAATCATCAGGTTCAATCCTAACGACATATTTATTTCTGCAAAAGAGCAAAGAACAAGTTTAGTTAAGTTGTAGTGGGGTGGGTTTTTTTTGTAACGCACACATTTCTCCGATTTTACCGTTTGAAACGAAAAGGTGAATACTAGTTAGTGTTTGCCATGGATTATTGGGTTAGGTTGAGCAGGCCGGGTTGGTTGGTTGAAGTTGGCGAAACTGATTCCGGACCGTCGAATTATCCCTTGATGGTGACTTCCTTGCGTCGGCGAGCCGTGCCCGTGTGTGCCTCGCCTGATCCAGTCGTGCGACGAGTGCGGCAAAGCAAGGTGCGAATGCGTCCACGCAATTCGGCATTCTGTTCTGAATTCGTAATGCTCAGGCCGGTGATGTAGCCCTGTGAAATGGGAGAGAATATCCCGATTAGATGATTCGGTCCGACGCATAAGCACTGAGCTTGTGCAACAACCAATCTATACGGTTGTGCATACAACTCAGTCATATCACATATATCGGTGCAGTTTGTTTGCGCATGTCGCGAATGGCATGTTATACCCAATTGATTCGTGTGTTAGTACCACTTTTCTTGTGACAACCTCCACTTCACCAAACGCGTTCGCCACTCGTGGGCCATTAATATAAGTTGCATAACTGTGCAAAGCTTGGTAAAGCTGACATGGGTTTGGATGTTTTGCGCAGTTCAACAACGGGTTGTTAGGTTTAGACCTAATTGTCTCTCACGAGTGTCCAATTTTCGGCTCACCTTGTCCGCTAAGTAAGGTCCTATTTGTCACTCCGGTCTGATNTACTGGACGTTAAGGCGTGGCTGTTTGTGCCGTCACGTCCGGGGTAGTTGTCTCAGTCCATAAGTCATTCTTAAAAACTCGTTATTTAATGATTTTCATCGATAGGTTTTGTTTCTTTGTATCTGTGTTTATCCTGCGGTCTGAGATTCAGTGGTTTATCAATGTTCGAGGACACGCACTGCTGAGCTTGTCTCAATTCCGGTCGGCATACATGCTCGAACTTGTTTTTATCGATGTTTCGGTCCGTGTGCACTTGAACCGTACACTGGATAGATTCAACTTGTTCCATTCTATTGTGTGCTCCACATAACCCTCAGTTGGAAACGGTTAGCTCCATGAGCCATTTGAGTCATGCTATCAGCTGACCATGCTTTCTCATTACAATGAAAATCATTGCGTTGGGCTGTTATGCTTCCGGAGGCCGTAAAAAATGCATCTTCCGGACAGTCATCGCATACTGTTACCTGGGTTGCAGATCGATTGATTATTCAATTCCTCCGCATGGATTGACAGTGTTTGTAATGTTGACAGGTGCACACCGCCTATATGATATGTTCGTAAAAATGTGTGAAGCTGTCAACTATAACGACCGTATTTTGTAGAGCGTGAGGGGTTGATTCATCCTTCAACCTGTAAACTACGGCACACAAGGTGACCTATGATAAGTTTCCAATTTCCACGCGATCATATCTGGAGCATTGTATCAAGTTTGCTTGGAAGGTAAATAGGGACGTCCGTTTCAGTCATGGCTACAGATTGCACCGAATGTTCTACAATATCGGAAGCTACTAGTCTTGTAGTTGCTATTTCCACTTAATTAGTTGTGTCACCTAACAACTAATTTTTTTCTCCAGCTGCAAGATGTGATCCACGCAATACTCTAGAGACCGGCAGCGCTATCACCACCATCATCATCGTACAGTGAAATACGGTGAGACGAACTTCAGTGATCCCTGCCAAACGCACAATGCATACAAGGTTAGTGGTAAAATTTAAGGTGGACAGGGATTGAACCTAATTTGAGGGAGGAGGAAGAAAGTGAACCTCTATGGTCAACACGCAGTGCACAACCGAACTCTGTATACATACCGTTTCAGGCGTTCCGGCCTAATAAGAAATGACAACAAGAACGACACTGTTGTCGGTTCACTGCCATATCCTTCAATGTCACCAACCTACCAGTTGCACTATCACTTCAGTGAGAAAACCGCGTGCATCACAATTTTCACTGATGAGATGAATATTATAGAACAGAGTTCACGTGCATGTGCTGTTAGAGAAGAAATTGAGGCTGTAACCCCCCCCCCCCTTCATTCACGTATAAAGCTGAGGCCCTTTTTCTAGCACGGTCGACATTTCTCAGTCGACCTGTCTTCCGCGCCCGACCTATCTGTTGTGTAGTTTTCATTTTTGAATTCAGTTGGGCTTTCCTTGTTTGCGCCTAATCACACACACGGTGCATAACTCCTACAAAAAGGTTACAACAAACTATAGATCTAGCCATCACCACCATATTGGACATGAAATAAATAGGGCAAAGCACGTTGGTAGAACGATTAAAACCACTAAATGCTGATTGCCTTTTGTTCGGCATTGGAAACAGTGTAACTGGAAGTTTTTTCAGCTGACGGCTTGTTTCGACGGAGCATACATAATCTTGTGAGTGATCTGTCGATCCATCAAGTATTTCGTTCGAATAGCACTTTTCTCCCATACCCCGATCTGCATGCCACGATACTAAGAAACCAAAATCAATAAATTGCGGGTAGTGTTGTTCATTTTGGGCATCGACTATTTGTGCCACTTTTACAACTCGCTACTTTTTCCTCGTTAGTTACTTATCCTTCTTTGTCTTCAAAATTAACCAAATGCTGAGTTTGATTTGAACGGACTATCCTTCAAACTTCATCCTCACGCACAATGCCCAGTTCGTCCAGTAATCTATAGTCACGGGAATCGCTAGACCAGAGTTTCCCTCTCATTAGAACACATATACGGTGCATATCCACTGTCCCTTCCGGGCCCCGTCGGGCGGAAGGCGTTTGTGCTACAGCGAAGCCAACCAGTTCATACGGGCTAATCAGAATAGCCGATTAATGTTTTTTCAGATATTGTTTTCAGCTATGGTCAATAGCAGTTCGTTTGAGCCGAGAACAGCAAATGGAATTACAGTTAACCGGCTTTGAAAACCTACCACCAAATCCCGTTTTGCATGCCGGTACAAGATTAACACGTTAGGCTATGTATAATTATTACTGTAATTACGTAATATATATCTTATGGAAGATGTGAAAATGTTTGATAGGGAAGATGATTACCGGGTTATTGGGAAAATTAGCACTTCAACGGCCACGATTGTAGTACAATAATTGGCCCTATCCGACCGAGACACCAAAACTGTGCAAACGTTTGCGGTACTTGTAAGTACAGATCGACAGGATGCGAAAGGTATATTGCTTGCCGTTCTGCGAATTCTAACTACCCGGTCCCGGGTGGGTTTATCATTTGGGTCCGTGAACTCTCATCGCGAGCAATGTCCACTGATATTGGTGCAGTGCTTCCCAGTTTTTCGATTTCTCTATATTCTGCTTTATGCACGATGAATTTTGCTCTACAATGAGAGTAAATAACAATCTATGGTCCTGTCCAAACCGCCTCGACAGCAATTGGAGAAAGAGTGGGAAGCACAGTTGAATTGTATCGACTAACCTGTTCGTTGCGCCAACCGAAACTTCAACTTCACTTACATTGCCATCAGGTTATTACGTTCCCATGAGGGGCAGTAATGTCGTTATGAATCCTTTTCCCCCTTTTTTCTAATACTGTCTCACCCGGTTGTGCTGACCAGATCTCACGCATTTTCCGGTAATTTTTACTTTATGTGCAACCGGTCCACATACGTAGGTACAGGGTTGTACATTGCTGTGGTGCAAGACGAAGTTTATTCCCTGTTTGCACAGAACGAGAAACGTGTATGCGTGTGTAAAACGTTTTGTTACCATGAAATTTACACTCACCGGAATCATGTTGGGATCGAAGCGGCTACTATGATGCTTGTACTTGTTGCGCTCTGAGACAGAAAGACATGGCATCCTGCAATCAATTCAAAGTGAGAACAAGATCATCGATTGCACGGAAATATATCGAAGTCAATGAACCACCATTATCTTTCCAGGCTAATCACAATAGGATGTACATAAATGCGTGATTGTCCAGTTAATGGCCTGAAAAAGTACGACTGAGCGTATCAAGTGTGGCAAACATATGGGGCTATTGATTGAACCGGAATGATGAGTACGACCAAAGGCAATCAAATAGCTAGACTGAATGGTCTTGCGTTCTAAAGCTGCTGAATAGTTAGATTGGTATTTATGCCCTAATTGGGGCATTACATAAACAAGGTCACATTTGGTCACAAAAAAGTCTTCTCTCATGTACACTTGTCTCTCAGTTCGAGGGTCATTTGCAATGATTCTGATGAATGGCTACAACCGGAGACGAGGGAAAACAGTTGTTTCGCGGTGTGTCTATCCAGTCGGATGACAGACAAAGACATTTACCTGCGCGACAAACGCGCTTGACCCGACCATGGCAGTGAATGCAGTGTTGTTTACCATCAAAGTAACCTGCCGGCGTTGAGGCCTGACACACCCAACCCAGACACTAGCCGCATCGATGGATGATATAGACAGGCCAGGTTATGCTCCATGCTAACGGCCATATTAACTACTACAGTGCCCGTGACGAGATGGATCAATAGGCCCGCTCGACATGGCTGATAAAAACAATCCAAAATAAGATTAGAGGCAATATAGTCGAGCAGTGTTGTCATCCCCACTTGTCATGGTGCACCAGCGAGAGAGAGAGTAGAAAGCGCCAATCCGCGTTGAGTGACGTGTTATTTTGTTGTACAGAAGGTGGAGCGCTGCGTGCAAAGTACAAAGAGGTGCAGTATCTCTCGGATTCAAATGCAATCTGTCGAAGTATCTTCAGCTAATTAGTCGGGGTAAGCACTGACGGAGCGTCACGCAAATACTTTCTTCACAAGACCAGCTTTCAGAAAGCACACGTAGAGCATAGCACTGGGCATACGGCGCATGCCTGCTGACTAGAATGTATTGATTTCATACTTCGTGAATTACCATAGAATGACCCTGACCGATGTAACGCGCACAGATCTGGTGAACCAAAATCCTAACATTTCTGTTAGGCTATCACTGAATTTACTGTGGACAACGCTTCTCAACAAGGCACTTTGTGATTGGCCTAGCGCGTTGCCAATTGCAGATGTTACTTTTGTATTTATTCTGTCTGAAATGAAATTATGCATACCATTCCTCTTAAAATTCATTTTTGTGTATACGTGCGTGATGTGTGTGAAGCCTACTTCGCTTCCCGAAAACATTCACAAACAAAAAAGGAAAAACACTACTGACGTGTCACAACAGGACCGAAATAACTGTCAAGTGCTCTGCGTCTGCTATCCCACATAGAAGCAAATCGCAGTTTAACTGTGAACTATTTCTCCAAGGAAAAAATGAGATAGTAAAAAAATAAAATCAGAGGCAGGATGAAATCAACGAGAATCGACATGCCATAAAACTGAATATTTGATAAGAAGAAATTCACAATGCTTTACTATTGTCTTCTAATGTACCATTCTTTTGTGTTTTCGTATCGCTGAAAACTGCACAGATTTTGGTCGCCGATACTGAGATGCTCACAGGAGCACCGGCGGTCGCGTATCCGTGTGAAGTCCATATTATTCATGAAAAGTTGTATCGTTTGTCTCTCTTTTCACAGTACAAGGAATTTTATAGCACAAAGACAGTTTGATACATGGGGTTCCCTTTATCCATCGCATCAAGACAGGTGTCACGAAATGTGAACATTTTGTTTAATCTGCTCAATCGCCGATGTGAAATAAACAAGCACATTTTTTGGCACACTGCGTGTGTAGAGCCCAGTGAGCGGACGTGTAGATGTGGATAGGGACAACTAAAAACGAAGAAAACAGGAGATCAACTCCACGGCAAGCGAACTGATTGCGTCAACAATGCTTGGACGCAAAAATACGGGGTGATGTAATCTGATTCTCAAAGCCTCCAACTGTTCACAGCGTGCCGAAGAGCTGTGCAAAACTGATCGAATGGATTAGTGATCAGTGTTTGCCAAACTCATTTTACTCAATGATGGCTAGGCAATGACAATCACTGTTAAGAATAACTGATAGAATGGATTGATGATATTTCCTTAACAGTAGTTGCCATTATCTAGGCATCAGTGAGTAAAATGCGATTGGCAAACGCTGAAACAGGTAATGAAGATGTTTGACCTTTTGAGAGGTCACCAAAGAAACTTGGATATATCTGGTTTGTTCTGACTGAAATATTTACAATATGCTGTCAAACCACACGTGACGCATGTCCATCGTTATGTTACTTTTGTCCATTCTCATCGATCGGTGCTAAAATATGTAACAGAGACAATCAATCTGCCAGTCACTTGCTTTCACATAACCAAATCCCGTGCATTGCGTGACGATGCACGTGCGATACGTTTCCGAGTCCATGGTGAAGTGGCATGGCTCCGATAGTTCTGTGTCTACATATTTATATTGCAAGGCACGGAATACAAGTGTTGGTAATGTGAACAATTTCATTCATCGTGGTTAACCAAATCACCTGATGAAATAACGACCTTAGTGAATGAAAAGTCAATATAAACAGCTGGTAGCCTGATGTTATGTATTGATACATGTATGTGCGTACATGTATGAATGAATGTCTGTACGCAAGTCTGGATGCATGTGTATGTGGAAATCATTATGGAAACATGTTCAGACAGCAAAATAGACAGACAGACAGATAGATAGATAGATAGATAGATAGATAGATAGATAGATAGATAGATAGATTGATAGAGAGATAGATAGATAGATAGATAGATAGATAGATAGATAGATAGATAGATAGATACAGATACACAGATAGATAGATAGATAGATAGATAGATAGATAGATAGATAGATAGATAGATAGATTAAAGATAGATAGATAGATAGATAGATAGATAGATAGATAGATAGATAGATAGATAGATACAGAGATAGATAGATAGATAGATAGATAGATAGATAGATAGATAGATAGATAGATAGATAGACATAGATAGATAGATAGATAGATAGATAGATAGATAGATAGATAGATAGATAGATAGATATTGGATGGATATATCACTAGAAAGATAGATAGACAGATAGATAGATAGATAGATAGATAGACATATAGATAAATAGACAGATAGTTAGATAGATATTCAGATACATAGATAGATAGATAGATTTATAGCATAGATAGACAGAAATATGCATAGATATATAGATAGATAAACAATCGATGGACTATAGATAGATAGATATATAGATAGATTGCTACATAGATAGATAGATAGATAGATAGATATAAGATAGACACAGTGAGATAGATAGACAGATAGATAGATAGATAGATAGATAGATAGATAGATTTGATATAGACAGATAGATGAATAGATAGATAGATAGATAGATAGATAGATAGATAGATAGATAGATAAAGAGACAGATAGTTAGATAGATAGATATATAGATAGATAGATAGATAGATAGATAGATAGATCAACACAGATAGATAGACGCGGATAGATAGACACGGATAGAAAGACATGGATAGATAGATAGATATCTAAATACATGTATTTGTAAATGGCATTTGTGGCGAGTATTTTAAACCTAACCAAATGTTTATTAGCGGTCAAATCCGTTTGGAGAGAAAAAGCTTATTATCGATCAGTTGGAAGTTAGATTTCACAGAACTGTTGACCTTAACCAAATCAGGACACCACCAGGAGCAGTGTGCACTGTTTTCCTCTGTTTTTGACATTAGCTAGCAGAAATGATCTTGCTTGGAGAAAACATTTCTCATTTGTACTTTTCGTCCGTTTTTCCCAAATACTGCTTTGCTTTTGGCATTTCAGATCAGCCGCAAAAATCACTAACTGTGTGAGCCATAATGCAGGTCAGTTTCTCCCTCACGAAAACATAACCAATGGTCGTTTGGAAAATAAGGTGAGCTCATATCAATTCATTAGTTAAAAGGTCGCAACCACCCTACCCCACCCCCAGTGGATGTTCATAGTCTTCCGGAAAAGCTTTTCTTCAGATTTCTGGACACTTCATTTTGTTCACTGATAATTTGACTGCGATGAAAATCCAAATTGTGCTTTTCTTATGATTGGACTCAACTGACCGAAAGTACACTCTCGTGCATGAGCGGAGGAATAAAGATCTAATCGCATAGACATGTACACGAACCTATCTTCCAATTCTCGATACTTTTCATCGATTCTTTCCGAGACCTTTCGTTTGTCATCCTCATCGTCGTTCAGATTGACTCCCGCACGTCGATCCAGGATCAATTTGTGTGTCACAATCTTGTCATTGATATTCCTCAACGAGTGACGCATATTTTTGAAATTCTCTGCACTCGGAATTTCGTAATCCAATATCCCGTCCAAGTGTGCCTGAGTTGAACGCATTATGAAGGGAAGAGAGATGGAGAAGTATTAAACATGTGTACTGGCATGCCGGTCGAACTGTTTCCTCGAACCACGGTGTGTGCAGTTCGCTTTCTTACCTCAATACGACGAACACGCTCGCGCGCGGTTTCGGATGGTTTGCCTTCATTGGACCTCACCGTATTCGAGCTCGCTCTGTCACCCTGATAGAAAAGTAAAAATTGGTATTCAGCTGACATCGAGCGGAAAACAAGAAGATACACACAATGGTATATAATGAGCAGCAGAAGGGGTCAACTCAGTTGTCATGAGAACCTCTTGTTCACTTGTGATAACCGGTAACCTAAGCCCGGAGAGTTAGAATGATTAACCACGTAATGCCCTACGAGTCTGTTTGGTGATAACAAAAATGGATTTGGTTCAACAATCTTATGACGAGTTTCCACGAGAAAGCTCAGATGCGTCACCAAATAATCGATTAAACAAACATGAAGAATGACTAGTTTATATTTCGCAATAGAAAAACTTACTGAGCATACTGAAGTGGTTTTGCGACGCGTAATATAATACGGTATCTGGATGGAAAAGAGACAAAGAAGACATTCAAATCGATTTTAATTCTGATAAATATTCCCCACAATTCTCCAATTCAGTGAGTCATGCCAACACTGTTTGGAGGAGGGCATTGAGAAAATCAATTCAATTGTCAGGGACCAGATATAAAAACAATGCCGAAAAAGTTGTTCACTTGCTCTCTCCTTCGAGTTGTAAATATATAAATAAACTGATATACAACCATTAAACATTGGGATGAACGGAAGTAAAAACGGATACGTTCCGCCTATCAACAGACCTCAAACGTTTCGAGCTGGCTATTGAAATGCGATCCCTCGTTTCGGGCACCACTGAGTTTTCTTCCATTCAGTAATACAAAGGGATCATCCACTACTACTATCACCACCACTGAAGAATCCACTACACCCGCAACAACCACCACCACCACAAGCACCACTTCTTGCAGTATGACAACAAACAGACACCGGCTGTCTGATAGTGCGAACAGAAAACAGGATTTTCAACTTCGAAATTTATGCTAGTGCGGTTTGGAAAAAAATCAAAATGCGTTTTGAACACGCAACTGTCACGACTAATCCATTTTACACCACCATTTTGACGGGGAGATTTCGGTACGTTTACCACGTATGACTCACTATCCAAGGCCAGACAGATCGATAGAGTATAGACCAAGAGTAAATAGACAGAAAAAAGATTGGAATCACAGATTTCTAGGTTTTACATTGTACGACTGAAAAACTGTAAAATAACGAAGTACATTTCTTTCCGTGCTGTTTTTGCGAATTCAAAACACTACGATTTTCATCTTACCTAGGTGATCTCGTGATGGCTCTTCAATACGACCTCGCACACTCTCGATCAGGTACTGGTAACCTTCATTTCATCTGTGCCAATAAATTTCAGCTGATCGGAATATTCGTGTCAATTAATAAATATGGGAATAACGATTGATTATCTATAAAGCACGATTAAATGGACAATCGGTGGTGTTTGCCTTACACAGACTCATTCGTAACTGATGCTGTGTGGTGGGGTAGGTGAGAACACTATGCTGAAGAGAGAAGGGTGCTAAACAGAAAATTGAAATTTCAGATGGACAGAGCATAACAAGACACTTGAGCGTCTTTTGTGAACTGTTCTTCATATCAGCTTATAACAAATTTGATCGTAGACAACTTTGTGTAAAGTGTGCAAAGCGTGGAAACGTGCACAGTGAAATGCAGCAACTAGGTTGCGATTTTCTTAAGCGAAGTCGTAAACAACCACAATGTGTATGTGAGCAATTAAAAATCTCAGAGATAAACTAGCAGAAAAGCGATTCGGAACATGGATGTGTGAGAAAAATCAAATTTGGCTATAACAGAAATTCATTGAACAAGGTTAGACTAAAAATGAATGAATGCGGGACAAAGTGAATGGTTACTATGATATAAAAAATTTAACGTGAGAATAAAAAAACTGAAAGAATCAGTTGATACGAATCATTGAGGTGAAAGCGGATAAATCATGTCGTACGGACTTTGCTGATTGATGTGCACACTTTCTGATTCGAATGATCGTTAATGGAAAACATTGTGCTCTGGTTAAGTGTGTTTTTGATATACTTTCACATCCTCTTTGGCGACTGTGAACTCACAGGAATTGAGAGAGTGTGATAGGAGGAATAAACGACTTGGTACATAGTCATTTTAAAACCTGTTTTTATATTATCGTTACTGTAAGAATTCCGTGTTTTTTTCGCTCAAGTGATAGATCAAGAATGAGTGGTCTTTTCAAATTTATATTGAGTGGTGATGATGGATTTTCGAGACAGGGTACATGAGAACAAGAATCAAATACCTTTAGCCGTGCATGAAATGACCACGTGCTACGCCTGGTAAGAAGTAGCTTGCTTTTTTCATAACTAAACTACCTCAAAGACCTTAATTGCCTTGAATAAAACCTTTCTTTCATGCTATTGCTTTCGAGCACTAGTAAATCTGAATGTAATTTGACGCATGTTTTTCAACTGGACAATAAAAGAGATCCAATGTACGAATGACCAGCGGATTTTTAACAAACCTGTCTGAGCACTGCCACTGAGCGATTTAACACTTGTTTCTTCACAGACAGTTGTATAAATGAACCAATGACCTATATCGGGTATGTATGACTTTATCCATCCTGTTTCGTCCGTCCAGTACCCTTTTCTCTGTTCTCAGTCACTCTTCACTGTAATTTCGTCATCTAATCAATGCACAATTACTATATATATATATCGCTGAATTAGCCACCGGAGGAAGGTACCAAAACCGGGCTCCTTCACTTCTTGAGTAGTTCTTTCTATATATTTTGCTTTTCTTTATTTTCCTACTGACATTTTGGTCAGTAGTTAACTTCTAATCCATTTTTTTATATGTAAAAGTTCTGGTTTTCAGTATGCAAAAGTTTTGGTCTCAGGAACAAAATCACGAACAATCATTTTGTGGGGAAGGTTGACAAACACTCTCGCGTTCTTGGTGCTGTCAAGACGATCGATGGGGAAGATCTAGGATCTTTGGTTTGATTTGTTCAGGTTTGACAACAGCCAACAAGTTCTTGTGGAACTCCAACTCAAAGAAAGAGCAGTGTTTCTCATGTTTCACAGTACATCAACGACATCTTGTGCCTCAATAAAATTTACTCGATAGTGCAGATGTAACTGGGAACAAAGCATATTAGTGCCAGAGATTTCTGGACGTTCACTGGATAGCCTTTTCATGTCAACTTGTCATGACACAGAAATCCAAAATTCTTCGGGTGAATATTATCTTGTCGATCCATCCGTGATAACTAGTCAAACTGTCACTTAAGTCACAGCTGCATTGGGAAGTTGACAAAAATATACAACTATAAAATTCACCCTTCAAAAATAAAAAATATCAGGTCATCTCCAGATATCTTTCGTTTTAGTGTCGGTAATGCACACGATGTGCCGTCATCTCTTACACTGTACTGTCGTCACACAAAAACCTTGATTGGAGAAGCGGTCGATCACAATCAATTCCAAACTGGTAAGAAACTATGTAAAGGATAACTTTGAGTAGCAAAATAAGCCCATCGTTTTCATCAGAGCACACAGAACGTGTGTTTTCGAAGTGTTCATTTTCAAGCCATTACAACCATATTATGTAAGAGAATAACGGGTGTTGTGCTGCGGTTACACTGTCGAGGTCAAATAATGATAGCAACGGGGTGGGTTAATGTGATAAGTCAACCTTCCAAATATAACACCAACCAAGCGGCTACGCGTCCCGGTTTCTGGACATCGAAACACAGGCCAACACCATCAATTAACCAACGCTGACGTAGTTCAAAACAGAAGCTTTGCGAGATGGAAAACAAAGTCAACACCTTACTGATGCCCGTTTGACCAATAACATTTCTGTTTACATACTATTTGATTCCATCGATTTCTTTCAATAATATAACCTTAAATTCGGTGGCCTTTTTCCTGTACCTCAGTGACCGGAGATTCCAGCATACGATTACCAGTACCATTCTGGGCATTATTTGCGACTGTGATTCGTGATCCGTAATTTGTGACTATTTCGACTACGACACGTAAGGACAAGTTTATCACCTGTTCCGATAAGAACGGGTTAAGCAACCGCTGATAAGTAGTTTGAGTCATATGCTCTTTAGAAGTTTGAGTGTCTGAACAAGTGTGTTTCGTGCACACAATTGTAGCTTTAACAAGCGGATGATAATTGCCTTGACTGTTTCCAGCGTCTTAATTTGAACAGCCTTGAATACGTGTTCTGGGAATAAGTAAATCATGAAGAAAGCCGAAATTTTGTCCACGATATGCTCAGTCTCGACCAAGATAGATAGAAAACCCCTTTCCCCCGTGTCCAAGTCACGTGGGTTGATGTTCTTTGATACATCTGGCTAGCTATCCCAACGTACGGTCTACGTAAGTGGCAAAACAGATGGCCTTGCATTGGTAGATGAACATAGATGAGGTCAACAGAGGCAACTTATCCATATTCTGAAATCGGATGACGGGTGATGCCGGAAACACGTATCGGAGTTTGGCAGCATTGAACATTGTCTTAGCTGCGGCAGACAGGACTTTGGTAATCTTTTCGGCCCAAAGTAGACAAACTTAAGGACGAGCACTGTGACGACACCAATCAATTAGCAGCGCTTACGTTACCCGTTCCTATAAGAACAAGGGAACCAGAAACAAACTTTTCCGTAACCCACCCCGTTGGTATCATTGTTTGACCGCAGCAAAACACCCTCACCTTATTTTCTTACGTAAATGTGATTGCATTGGCTCCAAAACATAGTCATCGAAAACACCTTC